CTGAATATAGCACAACAGCATGGTAATTCCCTTTTCCTTGGATTCTTATGCCACAAATCCAGTGCTTAACAGTTTTTTTGGCATTTCTACTTACCACAGAGTTGCATTTTTCAGCTCTGTAAGCAGGTCTTCATCCACTTGGCAAAATAACAGAGTGTTCTCCACAGTCACACTAGACCAGCATTGAACATATGGTTCTGTGGATGTACAACAGACCAGTCCTACTTCAGTGATGGGGTCAGAAATACAAGTCACCAACATGGTTTTGAACAGGCCCCTTGATTAATGTGAAATTCTGCATTTTAGATTTTGGATTATTCATTAGGGTGTATTGACATTAATTTAACTTCTCTTAAGAATTTAACATTGAGATAGGGTGGTGTAAAGGACAGGGAATTAAAAAAAATTGTCCTACAGCTGTGACGTACAAAGCACGGGGAGACTGGAAAGCTTGTAACTGCTGGTGCTCTGCTCTTCCAGCTTCGTGAAGGCAACCCTGAGAGTCTGATTTCTGCTCCCGCATTATTCAGTGTCACGCGTTGGGTTAGGGGTAAGTGTGACTTTATTTCAGGAGGGTGGTGCTGTGGGGTGCGTAAATACCCCAGGGTGAAACAAAGGCGTCATTTCCCTGATGTATGTACACATCCAGCGCGCCTTCCCTCAGGGTGGTGTTGTGGGTGTATCTGGGGTTAACAGGGTGACTGAAAGCACCGCAACACACGTGAGACACCAGAACACACCCAGAATATAGCTACACACACCTACCCTGGGCAGAATGATGCCTCCATTCCAGGAAACGTTATACCACAATAATCACAATAATTGAGAAATTACCTGAACCGTATTCTTTTGGAGAGTGTTTCCTAACCCAGTCCTCAGGAATCCACAGACAGTCCATATTTTTGCCCCTGGTAGGGAGCTGGGAAGGAGCAAAACATGGATTGTCCGGGGGACCATGAAGACCAGGTTGGTAAACACTGTCCAAAAGAATATGGTTCAGGTACATTTCTCAATGTATTGATCTGTTGTCTTTCAGGGTATGTGAACGCAGTAATGAATAGTATGTCATAGTGTTACTGGGGTGAAGCACTAACATTAAGAAAGGAGCAGAAATTGTGCCTAATGAGGTGTGAATCATATGAGCATATTACAGACTTAAAGCTTTCGCTTTGAATCACTCATTTGAGCGAAGAGACGGCAAATCAGGCAGCAGCATGTAACCCTTTAACAAGAAGGGGGAGCGGTGGCTAGAGGTGAGAGCGGAGCAGGAGCGAAATACAGTGAAGGAGCATGGAGATGGAGCATGGAGATGGTCTTACCTTCATCGTCACTGCCACTCTGGGCTTGAACCAGCAGCGGGAAGATGAAGAGCGCCGCCCAGCACGACTGAGCCATGCTCCCTACCCAGAGCACAGGACGCAGCAGAGGTGCAGTTCGGAGAAGGTGATCCTACCACTCAGAGAGCTTGTCTTCCCATATAAGCATGAGAGAAGATCGGAGGGGGAGGGCAGAGGAAGTGAGAGGGCGGAGAGCAGCGGCTTTGGTTTGTGGTTCTGCCGATAACAGGAAGTCGTTCTCTTCATCAATCACATTGGTTTAGAAAAAAGAATCTGACGATAGGGATGGGGATGGGGACTGGTAGGGCTGGGGTGACAGGGAGTGGTCGGCTTTCCCAGTGTGCACACTGCTGGCCGAGTATCAGGATCGTTTCTCAGACAACTTCGGAAAACATGTGAAGATTTACGATGAAAAGTTTGCGATAAAAATGTTCTGGCTCACCTAGCTTCCGGAGGTTATAAAGGTGTAAATAGAGGTCTTTAGGTCACCCTGCTCTATCTTTTCACCGGAAGCTTATGTCATGTATGAGTATAGGCACACGCACACGCACACATGCTCACGCACACATGCACACACGATGTCTGTATGTTTCAGATGTTCTCCCATGTCTCTGTGTGGGTGAAAGAGGCTCATTTGCTCCCCTCTGCTCCATTTTCACTTGTCGCCGCTGAAGAGGAAGTAGGCGGGTGCCATCCTAAGCTAATCATGACTGCTGTCGTCTCCGACCTCCTGGCCAACAATGCCTCACCATTCACTGGAACAGGAACTTGTAGGAAATGAAAAGACAAAGGCTTTCACATCCATTTCCCTCCACCTGCCAGTTCTTTTTACCCCTTTGAAGGGGCATCGAGTTGCCAGACCCGTCATCCCATGCTCCATTGGATGTACTGTCAAAAAAACATTTTGGCTGTGGTGACCCCTTCATTTTATGACAAAAACAGCCTTGGTGTATTTGGTATTTTATTAGTAAATTGTCGCTCCATTGTCCTGTCATCATCCCGTGAAGTTATACAGACTTGTTAGCGGTAGTGTTTATGATCTAAACTGAAACTCAGTTTTTTAGATATGACTGGGACATTGAGTCATAAAGTCATAGATATATCCACAATCTAAAAGTTAGTTTTTTTCATTTACCTATTATTTTTTACCATAAAACAAATTATTCCAAGGACTTTTCACATGGTAATTAGGAAACAATTTTAGTTTCATTTCAAGCTGCTTCAGCACAATGGTTAATTAAAATGTATAAATTCATTACAAGTTTAAAAGGGAATACCTTTCATTACATGTGATGCTCGTCGTATTATTTTACCTGTGTACCTAGCAAGGACAGTCCACATATCTAATGGATTCCTTTTGAACATACCCTTGGGTTTTGCTTGTAGTCCCGTGCCAATAGTTCAGCTGTGCTGATATCACACAGACAGTGAGGTGCCTCTAAGGAGATGAAGTCCATTCCTGGGGAGATGTCCTGAGTTTGTACAGTGTCGCTGAGCAGCTCCGGGGGGGGGGGGCAGGGGTATGTTTTCCTTGGCCGTGGACTGGAGGAGGCTCACAATAAAAAAGTCTAAATGTTTTACTGGTCTTTACTTCTGGAACGTTTTCTATTTTGGTGTTTCTATCTGTGAAATCTACAGGCAAACTCCAGCGTTGGTGCAATGTGCTAAGGGGGTTCCCCCCGGTCGGCAAAATCAATTGGGGGCCCTCCCCGGTCAGCAAAATGTACTGAGGGGGCCTACTAATTGGAATAGTACATTAATGATAGAGCAGAGTCAATTTTCTGCTCTATCATTGGGCAAGCTCATGCAGGGCATTCTGCGTGCAAACACCTCTTTGCCACCCCCCACCCCATGCAGTTCGGCATGCTTGGTGTGTTCAGGCTGAGCCACACTGAGGAGCAGACATGCTAAGGGCAGCGATCGCAATGCCAGTTGTCTTCTCCACATGCGAACGTGCACGCGGAGACGAAAACAAATGGGCCGCAAGCCACTTCCTGTGTCTCTGACAGTTTGGTTTGAGTGAATGAGGCCAACATGAAGCTTCCCATGTGCTTGTCTAACACAGCAGATGTCCTAAGCTGAGTTGTTCTATGCTATCGTCCTTGTTTCTTCTGCAGTTATTCCCCTGATTGTATCTCCTCAGGGCATGTTAAACTCCTCCACACCTGGGGAGGTTTGAGATTAATAGTAGGGCTCTCTCCACATCATTTGCATTTTAGTTGTGGTTTTCCAGTCCAGTTGGTTCTTCTGATGTCTCAGTGTTTGCACACAAAGTTTTGTGCTCGCGTTTTTGATATCGCTTTTTCCTGATTCGAACATACCTTAAACTGGTATGATAGGTGCCCTGCTGAAAAACACCAGCTGGTTTAACTGGTTTAAGATGGCCTTAGATGGTCATGTCCCAGCTCCTGCTGTTCTTGGATGGTTTAGCTGGGTGAGTCACCAGTTGGTCATGCTGGTATGACCAGCTAAACCAGGTAAGAATGATCATTATCGGCTGGTAAGACCATCAAACCATCCGGCAAAAACATACCTTAAGTTGGTCAACTTTCATAAATTAGTCAATCAGCTTAAGCAGCTTAAACCTGGTCGAGCTGTATTTTCCAACAGGGTAGTCCTCTCACACCTGAACTAACCTTTCAATTGGAGACTTTTGTCCCCAATAGCCTTGGAAGCGTGTTCACAGAGCTGTACATTGCAGGAGCAGCTGCGTTTGTGTTGGGCTCTCGCCACGGTTCCTTAACTACTGTACCAACCGCTTTACTTCATCAGGAGCCTCCTTCTGAAGGTGGCTCGGTCCATTTTAATTCAACATATTTTCCAAATAAGTTTCTGCATCACGATTGTTGATCTTGATGAAATTTGGCATGCGAATGACATACACCACCGAGACCACAGAAATGTTTATTATTAAAAAAAGTCCCTTTGAGTTTCTACACCACAGGTAGAAAAATATAATACAGATTGTTTTCGCATGAGCTGTAACTTTTTTTTCGTGCTGTTGTTTACTATTATAGCTATATGACTCAGTTATAGCTCGAAAATAGTGCTTTTTCTGGGTATGAAAAAATTCTACTGTTGTATAAATATACACTTCTTTTTCCAAGCTCAAATTTTATCTCACCAACTGAATGTTTTGCTACTTATTGTTATAAAAAAGGCTTGAAGTAACATGTAAGTTTTTTATAATGAAATACATAGTATGTGTGCACTTGTGCTTATAAAACAATGACCTCTTACTTGGTCCTCTTCCTGAGATAAGCACCCAAAAATTAAAATGTTTTAAATGCTACATTTGAGCCTCAAAAAGGCAAGTGGAGGAGGGGTGAGTTTTTTCACTTAATTTGGAAGAAAGTACTCTTTACCTGGTTTTAAACATAAAAAAATGTGTTCTTATTCAAAGGGATGTTAAAGTTAGTTTTGAATTTACAAAAAAAAATAAAAAATCACTGAAACTACACACTAATCTCACTCTCTCTTTTTTAAAATAAACATTTCTGAGCTCAGGGAAGTATGGGAAATTCACATGTCAGATTTCATCAGAATCAAAAATGGTGATGCAAAGGCCCTTTGTTGAATTAAAATTGAATGACCTAGATGTACCAATTGATTTGTGTGTGGTGCAGACGGGTTGAAGTGTGACTGCCATGGACTGCGGCACACTCACGGGATTTATAATGTTCGCAGGCTGTGAGAGTTTAGTGAAGGAGTTCTGACACGACTGGTTCATGCTATCAGCAGAACTACTGGACAGAAGCACGTTTTAAGAGAAGAACTGAATCAAAAATATGTGAGGTTGCAGTTCCAAGAAAGAAAATCCCCTCTGTGACTCTGCCAGCTGTTTTGATTAAGCTTGTCAGCATGACTGTCGGTATGAAGGTCAATCAGAGTAAAACAGCAGCATAGAAAGACAAAGGCAAGAAAAAACAAAAAAAAAAAAAAAAAAAAAAAAAAACACTGCCTTGGCACTCAGAGCTAACACTTCTGCTCTGAATCAGCCTATTTTTTGTAAATAACTTTGGTCTGTTGTTTTCTCAGTTTTTGATGTGTCTTGTAGGTTGTGGTTACACTTGTTTAACGTAAACACGCTTTTTGGCCTTGAACGTTTGATGTGGAAGAGTAGGTCTTTGGTTAGCGTGCAGAGTTTAGCTGATCCTGTTCAGCTCGGGCTGTCTGTCAAAGCCGAATAGTTCATAGTCAGAAACCCTCTGTGTAAAGTGGCATTTTAGTGCCTGATTACTAATACTGTTGTTTTCAAATGGATGCATACAATTTTTTTTTGATTAGATCTTTTTATTGTCATTGCATATTAATATACGATGAAATTCACTTGGAAGCAAATGGTTGAACTTAGCAGTTTTAAATAACATATTTTATTAAAAAAGGCCATATGAGGTTAAAAAAAAACATAACTAATAAAATGCTAATTTCAACTCATCTTTAAAGTGCATCTCAGTGATTAAAGAGGTCCTGTGACATCACAGCATACCAAAGCGTCACATCTTAAAAGTCCATATCAGTAATACAGTGCATATCAGTGATTATAAAACCCATATCACATTGCAGTAATGCATCACATATTAAAAAGTCTATATCAGTGTTTAGAAAACACCACATCAGTGCAGCAAGCATCACTGCATCACATCTCAAACAGTCCAGTAAGAGTCCACATTAATGATTAGAAAAATCCACTTAGTCCCTGCCTAGTTAGTTGGCATATTTCATATGCCTGTTGGGTAGTCGTCCAGAAGTTCTGTAGTTTATCCAGTTTCTTCTAGTTTCTTCCTCTCCAGGGAAGAAGCTGTTTTTTAAACAGTTTGTCTGGGTCTTGATGACCTTAAGCCTGCCGGAGGGGAGGATGGAAAGCAAGTTGTAACCAGGGTGTGAGGGGTCTCGGCTGATGTTTCCTGCTCGCCTGAGGAGACGGTTCGAGTGAATGTCCTTCAGGTGAGGAAGGGGGGTGCCGATAACCTGCTGGGCAGTCTCCAATACCCGTTGAAGACCCTTCCTTTCTAGCTCAGTGCAGCTTGAATACCACACCGTGCAGCCATACATCAGGATACTCATGACTATGCAGCAATAAGAAGTTTTTCCGGAGCTCCTGGGGATGTTTGGAGCATCTTAGAGTTCAC